ACCAAATTTGTTTAATCAAGTGGAAATTGTATTTGTCTGCCACCTGGGGGATTCATGGAAACATTGCAAGTAGCAAAATTCATAGTAATAAAATATTACAATATATATTAATAGTATTATATTTGTCTTCTGAGTGGTGGTGGCTGAAACTTATATATGTATATATGTATACATGTATATATGTGTATGTATATATCCTATATAATAAAAGCCTAATATGCTAAGTGTCCGGTCATCTGTTCAACCAATCAAAGCATAATATGCTAATGACATGCTAAAGATGCTCAACCACTCACTATGCTGTGCACTGACCATCAGGGGGCAGACACTCCGACTGGTAGGTTAGCTTGCTGCTGGGGTCTGGCTCATTGGGACTGAGTGAGACTGGCCGGACACACCCTGGAGCCCTCCCACGGTCCCTCCCTGGCTGGCCAACTTCCTGCGTCCCTCCCCGGCCCTCTCACAATCTGGGACCCCTCGGGGGATGTCGGAGAGCTGGTTTTGGCCTGATCCTGCAGGTCAGGCCAAGGGACCCCACTGGTGTACGAATTCGTGCACCCGACCTCTAGTATATGTATAATTGTAGTCAATAAAGTAATGACAAAAATCAACAAAATTGAATTCTGGATTTCAAGTGACAAAAAAGTTTCCAAAAGAAGAGAGTGATCAGTTTCATCATTGCTGATAGATCAAATAAGATGAAGAGAATCGCCCTGACCGGTTTGGCTCAGTGGATGGAGCGTCGGCCTGTGGACTGGAGGGTCCCAGGTTCGATTCCAGTCAAGGGCATGTACCTTGGCTGCGGGCACATCCCCAGTGGGGGGCGTGCAGGAGGCGGCTGATCGATGTTTCTCTTTCATCGATGTTTCTGACTTTCTGTCCCTCTCCCTTCCTCTCTGTAGAAAATCAATAAAATATATTAAAAAAAAAAAAAAAAGATGAAGAGAATCTAGCCCTAGCTAGTGTGGCTCAGTAGATACTAGAGTGTCAGCTTGTGGATTGAAAGGTCCTGTGTTCGATTCTAGTCAAGGGCATATGTCCAGGTTTTGGCTTGATCTCCAGTAGGGGGCTTGCAGGAGGCAGCTGATCAATGATTCTCATCATTGATGCTTCTATCTCTCTCTCCCTACCTCTCTGAAATCAATAAAAATACATTTTAAAAAAGGGGATGAAGAGAACTTAAGACTGACCACTGCATTTGGCAACTGGAAGGTCATAGGTGAACAGAACAAGAGCTATTTCTGGGTATTTTATTGTTTTTATTACTATTATGTGCATGTCTTTTCATTTATGACATTTTTCTAATTCATTACTGCTGGAGCATAGGAAACTATTAATTTTTATGAGTTGATCTCTTATTTGACCACCTTACTGGATTTTATTATTATTTCTAATAGTTTGCCAATTGATTTACTTTTATTTTTTAGGTAGAAAGTCATATTGTTTGAAACCACTGACAGATTTACCTTACTTTTCAACATTTATACTTCATTTGGCATTAGTTGGGATCTCCAGTGCAGTGTACAGTAGAGTTGAAAGTGAACATAACTAATTTTAAATGATTTGCTGTAGATTTCTGGGAAATATTTAACAGATGCAGAAGTTTCCTTTTATTCCTAATTAGAGATTTTCCTTCTCTCTTTTTTTTAAAGCTTTTTTCTTTAGATGTGTTGATTTTAGATGTAAGGATGGAACTCACAATCATGGTGTATAGGGATGAGGTTCTAACCAACTGAACTACCCGGCAACGGCAAGAGATTTTCCTTTTCTTATATCATAAATGTGTGTGGAATTTTACCAAACGCTTTTTATTTTTTTAGCTTGAATGAACTGTACTTGTTTACTTATTTAAAATATTTATTGTTGAAAGTACTACATGTCCCCCCTTTGCCCATATTGACCCCCTCCAGCTTGCCCCCGCCCCAGGCCTTCGCCACTCTACTGTCTGTGTCCATGGGGTATGCATATATGCATATAAGGTCTTTGGTTGATTACCTCCCACCCACCCATCCTCTCCCGCCTTCCCTCCAAGATTCTGCACTCTGTTCCATGCTTCCATGTCTCTGGATCCACTCCATTCATCAGTTTATTTTGTTAATTAGATTCCACATATGAGTGAGATCATGTGATACTTGTCTTCCTCTGACTGACTTATTTCACTTAGCATGATACTCTCCAGGTTCCTCCATGCTGTCTCAAAGGGTAAGAGATTCTTCTTTTTTACTGTTGTATAGTATTCCATGGTATAAATATACCACGGCTTTTTTGTTGTTGTTAATCCTCACCCAAGGATATTCTTCCATTGATCTTTTAGAGAGAGTGGGAGAGAGAGAGAAAGACAGAGAGAAACATCGATGTGAGAGAAACACATCGATTGGTTGCCTCCTGCATGCAACCCCAACCAGGGCTCGGGCTGGGGAGGAGCCTGCAACCGAGGTATGTGCCCTTGACTGGAATCAAACCCGGGACCTTTTGGTCCGCAGGCCGACACTCTACCCAGTGAGCCAAACCAGCCAGGGCCCGCAGCTTTTTTATCTACTTACCTACAAATACTTTTTAATAAATATCTGATGATAAATTTTCTTTTTTAAAATTTAGTATGACAACATATTTAATGGACTTCCTAATGTTAATCTACTCTTATGGATAAATCTATCTATCCTGTATTTTATGTTTTCTTTTTAAGCTCTGTTCTGTGCTGTTTTCAATTTGTTGATTTTGATTTTGGATTCTTCCAGTTTTGTTCATAAGTAAAATTGGCCTTAGGATTAAGTAATAAAGTACCAATTTTGGTATCAGAATTATTTTCAGCTCTAAAATGACGTTGGGAGTTAATGAAAGCAATGAACTAAACAAATTATTAAAATATTAAATAATTACTATGATAGAGGACAAATCCCCAAGCTCCAGTGATGATTTTACACATTTCAAATGATAGCTAAAATAAAAATTTTATTGCTTTTTAATTCATTCAAAAGTACCCAGTGGATTCAATCCACTTGGAAAGTAAGTTATTAATACAGCTAATATCCGTGAGACATTGGCACTGTGTTCGACCTGGTGCTGAGGTACATAGCCCTCTACTATGACCCTTAATGACCTCCACCTCCTTTCTTTCATTCCCCTGCGTAATCCTCTTCTTTTGAGAGGGTTCACTGGCCAGCTTCTAATGAACCAAATATCATATAAGTGATGGTATGTCGCTTCTGAGGTTGGGCTATAAAAGACAGTGGTTTCTGTGCTGGATATTTACTTTCTCTCTTTCTTGGACTGCTCACCCTGGGGAAGGTCACCTGCCATACTGTCAGGTATCCCTGCAGAGAGGTTCATGTGAAAAGAAACTGAAGGAGGACTCTGGCCAACAGTCAGGAAAAAAAAAAAAAGGAGGTCCTCAATCTCCCAGTCCTGAGGAATAGAGGCCTATATTAGTCTAGTCAGGTTTTCAGATGAGACTTCAGACCCAGCCAACAGCTTAGCTACAACCTAATGAGATCATTTAAGCCAGAGGAACCCAGCTAAGCTGGGCCCAGATTCCTTTACGTCCAAATTATTTTGCAAAAAAACCCCCCAAAACTATATATGTCAATACATACAAATGAAATAAACATGCCAAAATGTTAGTCACTGAAGCAAGGCGGTGGTTATACGGGTGTTCATTGTATTATTCTTTGAACTTTTAATTCTTTAAAGGTTTTTGTTAAAAATATTGAGAAAAAATGGCATTTGAGTGAAACTGCATGTGAATGACTCTCAGAGAATAGTGTCCTTATATTAGTTCATCATAGACAAACTCAGAAAACAGATGAAAAGAGAAAAATTGACACAACCTAGGTACTGTATATAACATATACACATATACTGTACATTCTATTTAATGCACGCTATTTCTGAATTCTGCTTTCTCACCTAACCATACCATGGATACCTTTCTATCTTTACTGGCTGCATGAAATTCCATTGTGGAGATGCCTGGTGATTATATTTAACCAGCACTGTTGTTGGGGGGTGCAATAAACATCTGTTAACATAAATCTTTTGCTCATGTGTCTCATTACTGGAAGGGGCAAGAATTTCAGGCTGTGCAAAGGGCAGAGGTGGAAATGCGGGCAGAGGCGGGGGGACTGAAAAGAATAGGCGTGTATGGATGGAAAAAGTTGAGTCGTTTGCTTTATCTGGGGCGTGGACCACGTAAGTAAGGAGCCATCTGTTGAGGATCCTTAGACTGGAGAGTTGGAGAAGACTTGTTCTCACTGAATCGTGGGCCATGCCAGGTACTCTTCTGAGCACCTTTTCATGTATAACTGGCTAAAATGGCAGGTGCTGTTGTTATTCCTGTCTGTAGGCAAGGAAATGGAGGCACAGAAAACTTAGATCGCCCAAGGCTACCCATCTAGTGAGAGATGCAGCCGGGATTCGAGAGAATGCGGTCTGGCCAGGGCCTGAGCGCTATTCCGCCCATTTTCCGCCCATTTTGCAAGCCGAGGAGTCATGGTGAGATGCCGGGCTTAAAACCGGGCCTTACTGACTTCAGAGTCTTAGACACAATGGTAGGTGGTAACAGCATACATTAAATATGGCCTTGACCTGTCCCTCTCGTCCCCTAGGAGCGTAAAAATCATCAGCTGAGGCTTTAGAAAACCTCGATAGATAGCTCATCTCCAAAACACAGAAGGCAATGAACATTCAGTATTGCTCCTGAAGATGGCCAGGGCCTGAACTTAACTGATTGGCAGTCAGGATTCGACGGTGAAGAACCGGGACCCACAGCTTGATAATGAGATTCCAAAAGCCGCGCGGGCCTTCCTGCAAGTTTCCCGCCTCCTAGCCGGTAGCAGCCAGTTCCGCAACAGTCGCCGCAGCCCAGCGCCGTGACGTCATCCCAAGCCAGGAACCCGCCCCCGGGATCTCTGCTTCTGCGCGGCCGAGTAACCGGCGAGTTGCGCTCTTAGCCCCGCCCACTGCCCCGGAAGTTAATACCGAAGCCACGCCTCCCCTCGACCGGCTGGGGCGCAGCCATTTTAATTCATAGCTGAGTGGGCGGTGGCGTTTCGTGTTGGCCGTCTGGCCCTGCTGGGCAGGGGGTGACTTTATTGGTTTGGGGGTGGTTTTTAGTTTAATTTTTCTTCCCTAGCTTCACATCTCGGGCCAACTTGCGCGTTCTAATTATCTGAGATCATGTCAGGAGACGCCGCCGCGGAGCAGGTGAGGAAGGAGAGCGGTGGGGCCTCGTGGCGACCTCTTCTCTCCATGTCTCTGTTCGCCCTGATTCTCCAGCCATGTTCGCTTGAGGAAGGGGACCAGGGGGCACGGAGTACAGAGAAATGGTGGGAATGGGGCGCAAGAGCTGACTGAGATGTACAGTTATCTTTCGGCTTTTCTGTTTTAGGCATTAGTATGAGTACATTCGGTTTAGACAGTAACGGGGAAGCTGCTTCCACCAGTTTAGGTTCGTGGGACAACCTCGGTTGGATGCCTTCCTTTCATACCATTTCGGTAGGAATTGATTGTTGAAACATGTACTCGCTGATAGCGAAAAACTTGGCAGTCTTCCCCCGCCTCTTCTCCGATATATATATACTGTACCCAGAAATAGGTTAATAGCCCGAGAAATAATGTGAGGTTAGACTAAGCTGGGAAAATAGACGCTTGCTCGAGCGAATGAGGGAAACAGCCTGGGAGTAGAGCAGAGTTTTGCGGGGTAAGAGTTGGGGATTTTGTGGCTTTCTCCCACTTCCTTCTTTATCTCTCCTGTTTACATTTCATTTTCGTTCGCACGAGACAGATATTGCAGAATTTGATAAGTCGAAACTGAGAAGTCTGTTTCGGCCCCTCTAAATAAAACCATCGGTGTTCATACTGGATATAAGTGATGTTTAAATATTTCAAAATGAACAATTTTAGATAATTTGTTTCTTTTGCTCTTTATTCAGAATTTTGTGGGATAGTGTTTACCTTTTAGTTTGAAAGATGAAAACTGATATTTAATGATAGATGTTAATTAGTTTTTACAATTTAAGTTTTGGTATATGTTTAGGTAAGTAGTTTTTGAAATGGGAGCTAGCTGGCCTGCAGTCTCAATTTTCTGAAATTTCCCATTGCCATAGCAACGAGATACACTTAGGTTTTCATTTTCAAGTCCCCAGCTTATAACCTGGAGGTAGTCTGTGTGACTAAATTTTGGGAAAGCCTGGCTAACTGAATTTTGTGTTTGCTCATCGACTGATTTCAGTCCTAAACTCTTGGCAGTGTTTACATTTTACATGATGCCCAAGAATGCAGTCTTATAATTAGTGTATCAGATCTGTTTATGCACACTTACCCTTTTTCTGGACTCATTTTTTTGTTATCAGAGATTCAAGGGAGGAGTAATATACAGAGGTTTCATTGAAAGTTTCCAGAATTCATTGTTATTTCTTACATTTTTCTAAAATTGTAAGGACATTGAAATGTTGCTGTGACCTCAGATTTTTCAGAACTGTGGTGTTTTAAATGGGAGAGATGTTGGTGAAAATTTACAGGGGGGGAAAAAACCTCATCCAAAAATTTTATTGTTTAGAACAGAAAAAAGTTAAAGTGCAATGAACACCTACAGTACAATTATTCACTTAAAATCAACAGTTAAACATGTTGCCGTATTTGTTTTATCTCCCATACAAATTTGTCAACACATATTTCAGCATTACCATTATTCAGCATCAGCCCCACATCATTCAGCATTAATGCTTTTACATAACCATCATGCCATTTTCCCACCTAAGGAAATTGATATATGATTTATAAAATCCAGTCCATATTCAAATTTCCCCAGTTGTCCCAAAATGTGATTCATAGGGTTTGTTTTGTTTTGTCAGAATCTAATCAAGGTTCACATTGTATAATTTGCTTGTCTCTTTGAATAGTCCCCCAATTTTTACCCCCTTAGGACAGGGGTGGGAAACGTTTGGCCTTCGGGCTGTATAAGACCTGCAAAATAATTTGGTCTCTACTTTTAACAAAAAAAAAGAAGAAAAAATTGGTCTGGCCATGCCAAGGCATTAGGGGTGAGTTAATTAAATATCTGAGTAAATATAGCAGGCTAATTGTTAAGTTGATAATTTTGTATGGCCCTTGAATGATACTATAAATGTCCGAATGGTCCTTGGCAGAAAAAAGGTTCCCCACCCCTGCCCTAGTATGTCTACTTGAAGAGTCCAGGACAGTTTTCTTCAGAACTCTCATATTCTTGGATTTCTTTTATTTTTGTGTATGCAGTGTCATTTAACTTGCCTTTTCATCTTTTGTATTTCCTGAAACCTAAACTCAACTTTGACAATATTTTTGGATAGAAAACTTTATAGCATTACATAAAAAGGCACTTATTTCATGCTAGATTGTTCCACTGTTAGTGATGTTTAAGTTTGATCACTTGGTTAGGGGGATACTGCTGTAACTTTTACAATGAGTAAAAGATTATTTTCCCCTTTACAGTTAATAATCTGGGTTGATATTGTGTTCCTCAGTAATCTACCTAGTTACTTATCAATTGATAATCATTGAATAAAGCAGTTATTACATTGGAGATAATCATTGAATTTTTTTTTTTTTTGGAAAAGCAAGCAAGAATTTGACTGTAACAAAAACACTTAGGACAGTGAAACAAGGAAGGGCTCAGAAGAAGCAACAGGAGAGCCTGGGCTGGGCTGCTTGACTCACTGGAAAGTCAGAGAAAAGGGGGCCTTGGAGATAGGTTTGGGGGATTAGCCTGGGAGGAGCTACCAGTGCCCATTGCTCCCCTGGTTACAAATCTCCTGGGGTCCCTTGGAGATTAGGAGGTAGGTGCTGTGGGAGAAGGGGCGGGGGGAATGGCACAGACATGCTCTCTGGAGGGACAGTGGGCTGGGACCTTCTTCAGGGGTTTCAAAAGCTAGGCCTTTAGGGGAGGGTCAATAGAATATTAAGCATTATGCTGGTGAACCAAAAGGAGATTTATTCTCTTACTTTGTCCTTGGGTATGGTTGACAAATGTCCCTGATTGGATTTTTGTTATCTGTCCCTGAGTAGGGTGATTTAAGCTATTTACCTTCTGGTTGGGGAGACGTGCAAATCATTTACTCCCCTGAGTGTCCTTGGTTTAGGGAAGATAGGATTTACTAGGTGGCTGCAAACTGCTGTTTAGCTATCTTAGTTTTCCTATCCCGTTTGTCCTGGAATTTTCCTAGCTTCTTACTATACTGTAACATTCTTCCCTCAGAGATTTTCACCCCTAAAATCTTTTAGGATTGAGAGGGAGGATGGTCTGTCTTTAGTAGTTGTTCCCTGCTGAAAATGGTTTTTTAAAAATTCTAATATTCTGTCTCTACTTACTGGCTCATATTTTTCTGTAAAGAAGTTTCCTCTTTTTTTCCCTTTCTCCTTTTCAAAGATTATTGAGTATCACTGTGAATTTATAGGTTTCTCTTTATTTCATGTTTTCAAATCAGTTATAACCATTTTCTTTTGGATGTTCATCTTGTCCCAACTTTAATGGTAGCTCCTATATCTTTTTCCTATCAATCTAAAAAACATTTTTTGACATCTCATTACCAACAGAGTCATCTTCATATAATACTTTCTTCAGTTTTTTAATGATATATTTCAAACATTCAAAAAAGGAAAGAATTGTATAATGTTCCTATCATAGAGTTCAACTCATAGCAAATCTTGTTTTTCTCCACACTTTCACTTGTTCTTCCCACCTCCATTATTTTAAAGCAAATTCTAAAAGATACCTGGAAGAGTGAGATGATTAATTATGGATTAACTAGCTTAACTAGCTTGCTTTATTAAGTGTAAGACAGCAGTCAGTGAAAATTCAGAGGAAAAGAGGAGTGCCTGAAATGATGGACAAGAAAAAAGAGACTAAGTAAATGTGAAGAATAATAAGAAAAAATCAAAACCACTCTGAAACATGGATTTGCTTTGGAAAGGTGTCAAGGGATGGAATAGACAAAGAATCCTGCAAGATAACGAAGTGTGGGTTTCTTTTAGCCTTTTAGCATTGAAGCTTAAAAATGTTTGTTGAATAAACCCAATATTTATAATTTGTTACTCAAAATATGGATGATCATTTCATTTCTTTCTTGGTACTGAATCTCTGGATTTGTGCCCTTTGAAAGTGGGAAATGATTGTAATCAAAATCACTGCTAAGGTTTATTGTAAATTTTTTTACTCTTGTAAGGAAGGAAGTTTGCATTTCTAGAGTTATTTAAATGATCTTCCAGTGTTTGTGGGTATTCTAGAGTTCATGTTTACTGTCTTTACCAGTTTAATGGTGACAGGACTGTGTGTACTAGTATTTAGGTTCCCCCCTACTCCCAACAAAGTACATCTTCGTCCTTTGTGGAATTATGGCTATAGTCTTATTTTGTAGATACTTTTTTTAACTGCTCAATTCAACTTTTGATCTCATTCTTCCTTAGCTCTGTTTTACATTGTGTACTACTCCCTACAGTGTTTAGTAGACTGTTGTTTAGCGTTCCTCTACTGAGTTTGAGCTTGGATTGAAGGTGCTTCCTTACTTATTGTTGCATCTTACAAACCTAGGAAATACATATGGGTGTTAAGTAAATGAATGGATTAATTTGGACCAAAGCTATGTGTTATATGTTACAAAGTCTCAAATAATTTAATCTCTTGAGAAAACAAGTACATAAATAATTAATAAAAACTAAAATATTTGGGGTGTAAATGGATGGTTTATAAAGTTTTATTGGATAAGAGGGGGAGAAATGGGTTAGGCCAGGTCAATCGATATGAACCTTTAAGTCCCTAAAATGTTTCTACATTCTTACCTTTTGGAAATAAGACTTCACTTTTTAAACAAACTATATATAGCCTATTCTAAAATTAGGGGAAGGCTCAAATATAAACAAAATGATCCTCATTTTGGGAAAATGCCCCTTATTTTGGAAAAATGTTATGACTTGAAGAAGCTCAAAGGAATTGCCACTTCAGGGCCATAAGTCAATATTTTACTTTTGGGGAAAAATAAGCTTGTGGAGAGATAGAAAATGAAAAATGTGTGTTCTGTTATATACTTATCAATGAGGAAAGGGAGATGAAACACCCACAGTGTTGAAACCTGAAGCCTGGTTTATTTTGTTGGGTAATTACTAGTCCTTATTAGCAGTTAAGAGATAACAGAAGTGCCAACTAATTTTATTTTATTTTTTAAATATATTTC